TAACCTGTCACGTTTTCCAGTGGTGATGCGCTAACGTTCGTGGTTCTTGCAGCCAATAAGGGTGTTTCATAGTGCGATTCAGCCGCATTATCGACTTTAATGCCATAAACCGCCACGGAACATACGATTTGCAGCTCCCTGGCGTGATAGCTGCCAATAGGGCTCCGGAGTCGGAGTCATGAAGTCGGTCGGAGTTGACAGTTCTGACCTGAGTCGTCGAGTATGAGTCAGAGTAGATTTTAAAAGCCTGGAGTCTGAGTCAGTCACCGAAATTCGATCCCCTCCGCAGACCTTTCAGGGTTCCGTAGTCGGAGTTGCAGTCGGTCGGAGTCGACAGTTCTGACCAGAGTCAGTGTCAGAGTCGATTTTGAAAGCCAGAGTCGGGGTCGGAGTCGGAGTCGGAGTCGGAGTCACCAAAAAAACCATTGCCTCCGCACTCCGCAGACCTGCTAGGGCTGTGGAGTCGGAGTCAGTCAGAGCCGACATTTGAAATCAGTCAGAGTTGATTTTTGAAAGTCTGAGTCAGAGTCGGAGTCATCAAGAAACCCATCGACGATCCGCAGTACCATGCAGTAAGGGCGCTGCCGATCGATGCCCCTGAATTGCCTATGAATTGAATGAATAGATGACAATTAATTAGGTAGGTACCTTCTATCATTCATCCCCTGCCACTTGGAGGACTTTACTTTCAGTAGAAAAAGACGTATTATTTTGTTTGTTTATTTATTGACAAATATTTTTTGAGCAGTTAGGGATACAGACACAAAACACAATGATAGCACCTCGCTGGTGCAAATAATTGCTAGATAGATGTTGAGATGTGTTGCCATTGAAGAATCTACTGATTTTCCTGGCGGCTCTCGTTTTCAAGTAACTACTGGTCTTGTAAGATCTCTTTCATTGCTCACCGTCTTGCGTCTTCCAAGGTTTTCTGAAAGCTAATCAAACGTTACCATGACTGCTTTTTGATTGCATGGCGCTTGCTGGTTCTGCAATAGGTGGTTCTTGCGTCTGATCCTGTTGCTTCATGTTCCATCACATCACATTAAATTTCTAATGGAACAGACATTTCTACCTTTTATTTCGCTATCAGTCGACTTGCTCTTACCCCTGTGGCCTGCTCGCCCTTTTATTTCCACGCTGGAATCTATCAATTATTGAAAAAGCCTCGGATAAAAAAGCAAGAAAAGTATGTCAAGTTAAATAACTGAGACCGTCCTAGAAAACCAGAAAAAAAATTAAAAGCCTGTCCATCTCACTTCCCTCACTTCATAACAAAAACCCCCTATACATGCGAAAGAGTCCTTAGCAACGCCCTAGCAACGCATTTGTCTGAAGTGCGCAATATGTGTCACATCTGGAAAATTTAGTAGCTACTTGATTATTCAACTAGAGTTGGACTATATCAGCTAGGCTTTTATATAAAAAATAAGTGTTTGCTTATCGAATTTATAGCAACTGGTTGCTTAACTTCGAAATAATGATTTATTACAGAAAAAGCTTGTTAGCGACATATTTGTAAAGAAACAACGGAAATAGCTTTGACTCGTGCGCTATTCTAGTACATTTTTGGTAGAAAACTTCGTCCAACCTTATGTTTTAGGGCCTTGATTTTCCACAACAAATCCCAGCCGCACGCGACAACTCGCACGCGCGCCCTGCACCGGACGCGCCTCCGCACAGCGGCAACTACACCTCCCCCTGATCCTGAGGATCATTTACATCCCTCACAGAAACATCCTTGCGGAGGACGGCGGGTGCGCCAGTGGCGGCGGAAGGTATTCTAGGATAGGGGTGCAAACGATATTGAAGCGCCCCTTCCCGCTGGGCGCCCCTTACCATATACACGGTTGTAGTAACACAAACAGTGAAGAGACGTTTGACAATGTGTTGTACCTGTTAACACGTTCAGAATTTACAGTTTTTATGTAACGAGAAATAGTTAGGTACATTCCATAGCGTAAATATAACCTTCATAATATTCGTTTAGAAACAACCTCATCACCATATCATAAGATTCTCCGAATAAGGCATATCGAAAAGAGTTCCACGGTTCCAATACCTTCGTGTGGACTAGTGAATAAGGCGCCGAATCCATAACACTAACTCGGTGACAGAGAATTGTTAAAAAAAAAAACACTCATTTAAATTGCGTTTAAGTTGCATCCGTCCTCCCGGCAAGTTGGTTAGAGCTGCGAAATTTCGATCGTTAGAACCCGGTTTCTAATCGCTCCGACGCGACGCAATGATACCCGAGACTATGCCGAGACTAAGCCTCCCCCTATGGATCCCCCCTAAGAGACTTCTAGTTACTGCTAACGTGAAGTGAATAGGCTGAGGTTTATGGTGGGAGTAGCAGGTTTGTGACGCCCCAGTGAAATAAATGCGCCTTTCAACACCGATAGGAGCCCGAAATGAATGAATACAGGCAATCAACGCTGGTAGGTGTCCCAGCGAAATGAATGCATCTACTACCATCCAGAGGTGCCCCCATTTCAAAGTAATACGACGGCGACGCCTCCACACCGATAGGGGCCCATCCCAGGGGAACGGAATAAATGCCGCCCCCTCATTGCCGGGCGCCCCAGGAGAATGAATGTTACACATCAACACCAATATGCCTCCCAGTGAAATGAATTATGAATGTCGCCTTTCGACGCCGGTAGGCGCCCCAGACACCAGTGGATTTACTGCCGCCTTAAAACACCGATAGGCACCTCAGTGAAGCGAATGCCGGCCTATACCACCGATAAGCGCCCCGGATGAATAAATACCACCCGTCAACGCCGATAGGCGCCTCAGTGAAATTAATGCCGCCCCAATCTCCGATAGGCGCCCCAGGTGATACATGTCGCCCATCAACACCAACGGGCGCCCCATTGAAATGAATCCCGCCCTTCAACACTGGCAGACGCCCCAGTGGAATGAATGCCGCCCCACAATGCCGATGGCCGTCCCTCCACTGGAAAATCAGTTTCGCCCCTATACAGGCGCCCATAGAAGTTTGCAGAGTGCTATTCCTGGTCCTAATCATCTCCCCAGTAAAAAAAAAAACGCAAAATACGCCCTAGCACTAGGAGTGTAACCGCCCATACGGACAGTGCAATTTTACAGGCCCCAATCTCGGACCTCCCTTAACATTCATATGTTGTAAACGGCAAACCGCCCCCGATAAATGTTACACAAACTAATTTCCTCTCGCATATCGGCCATCAGGCGCCCCTTTTTGTCGCATGGAGCCTGCAACGCTATAAGCCCTCATATGTTCGTGTTGGCGTTCGGAGGCTATCGCCTTCAAAGACGTCTCCATAAATGTTTCTTTTTCGTCCCACACACAGGCGCCCTTCTTTCGCATGCAGGCGCCCCTCTTCCGCATGGCGCGCTTCTCGAGTGGCTGCGCCCTCCTAGCCTTTATCGCCTGGCAAGATTATATTCGACAGGGTCGGCAGCATCTGCCTTTGTTTCAGATAAGGATGCCCTCCACTCTTCAGCATATCAAAAGATACTTTTCCCACGTCATTGCCACCCTCTTCGTGTCACAAGTGCCTTTATCAGTTGCGGTGTCGCACTGCTCAGCTTTATGGCTGCCGCACCTCTTAACTTCCTGCCTCCTCTAAAGATTTTCGAGGCGCCCCTTTCCATAGCTTTAGGGTGCAGCTGCCCCCCTTGCCCCCCTGCTTCCGCCGCCACTGGGGTGCGCTGACTTCGCCGAGGAGCCACGGCAGGAGGCTCCGGCGCTGGAGCGTCGCATAACTCCGGCCCCTGCTCAACTGGAGCCGGCTGGAGGACTGGGAGAGACGGGGGATCCATCACGTAGATGGGGTCGTCCGCGTCAATTTCAGCACATGGGGGCGGCTCACTATTTCTGCGCCGCAAATCCCTGACGTGTCGTGGCATACCGTCCACATCGACAACCTGCGGAGAGACCACCGCCGTGACGGTACCCCGGCGGGACGGCTCCGTGCAGCGCGTCCCACGGCGGCGCACCCACACCGCGTCTCCGACTGTGTATGGGCCCGTCTCCACCGCAGGGAGCTCCCGCGCCCCGGCCCCACCGTCCGCGGCCGTCCCTGGCGGAGCAGCCGGCAACCGCACACAGTCACTCGGCTCGTACCTGTACACGCCACAAAACGGGGCGCTGGCCACCGCCTCGCCGTCACGCGGCGTCACGTTATACAAGTGTACCGCCTCGGCGATATCGCACCGTTTCCGGGCGGCGATCACTTTCACTGTCCGGTGGCAGCGCTCGATGACACCGTTCCCGCTCGGTGCATGGGCCGCCCGGAACCTCACCGCCACTCCCCAGCGCGCGGCGAGCACGGCAAACGGTCGGCCGCGGAACACAGGATCGTTATCACACAACAGCTTCGCCGGAGCTCCTCGATCAAAAAATATTTCCTCCAGCCACTGAATAACGCACACACTGTCCTGCCGTCGCAGCGGCCGCCATACAGTGAACCGCGACGGCCCGCAGTCGATTACACTGAGGTACGGATGGCCCCCATAATGAGTTATATCAATGGCCAGTCTGTGCCACGTCTGTGGTACACCCAACGACCCGTGTCGCCACTTTACTGGAGCCGGGTCGATCGCTCGACAGACATCACAATTTGTCACCACGGCGCGTACCTGGTCTCTCGAGACGCGGCCGATACATCGGCGAGCAAAATACAATGTCCGTCGGACGCCCGGATGACCAGGTCGCTCGTGCACTTCAGCCACGCTCTCTGCACCATCGAGGCTCGCGTTTACAGCGTTCGGCTCGTCCGCTGTGGCCGCGCTTACTGCCGACGGTTCATCCGATGCAGCCGCGCTCACAGCGGCCGCACTCACTGCCGACGGCTCGCCCGCTGCAGCCGCACTCACAGCGGCCGCGCTCACTGCTGACGACTCGCCCGCTGCAGCCGCGCTCACAGAGGCCGCGCTCACTGCCGACGGCTCGCCCGCTGCAGCCGCGCTCACAGCGGCTGCGCTCACTGCCGACGGCTCGCCAGCCGCGCTCACGGCTGCGCGCTCACTGTCGACGTCAGATCGTCTCGGAGCCACTCCCTGGGCACTCGAGTCAGTGCATCAGCGCGATTATCCGCCGATCGAACGAGCGCCACGGTCAGACGGAGCTCCAGCTCGATGACCAGCTGACGGATAATCGCCACACGCCGTCGGATGAGCAGCTCACCGCTGGCTTTAGTACGGAGGCGCTTGCGGCCACTGATCGCGTCGTCGATCCACCGCTTCACCGTCACCGAGTCGGTTCGGAGATCGATTCTCCGTGCGCCCCACGCAACAGCCAAGTTAATGCCTCGAATAGCGGCGTCGAGTTCGGCCATATTTATGTGTACAGCGTCGTCTCGCCTGAGCCAGCATGCATCCTCGATCACCTCACCGTCTGTGTTTTCCAGGACCACTCCGGTGGCCAGCGAGCTGGCGTCTGTCCAGGCGACCACCTCGTCCCCGTCGACACACCACACGCCACGGGCCGGGTCGTCACTGGCGAGGCGACTCGCGATACAGTCCATCTGCACGCGCAGCGCGGCGTCACCAGTGATGTCGTCCCATCCGCGCGTCAGCTCATTTACACGCCGCTTAAGCCATGCGACCGCGGGTCGAAGCCACCCACACACTGGTACGTGGGCCACTAGCTGTCCGCACCACGCGAACACAGATCGGCGAGTCACACGTTCTGGCGGCGCGCTCACGGCATTGTCCCGCTTCCACCGCAGCTGCCCGTTCTCCTCGTGCACCCGCAGGCCCAGGAGCCGCGCTCCACTGGCCGCCCGCTCCGGCGGCTTACAGTCCAGCCCAAACTGCGCGAAATGCGCCACCACGCGCTCGGCACTGACAATGTCCTCATTTACAAGGAGATCGTCCACATATGGGAGGACGGCACGCCCGATGTCGGGGTCCTGATCGAGCACAGCACGCACGACAGCCTTCATCACGAGGGGCGCGATATTCAAACCAAAACCTAGGCGGGTCAAGCAGAATCGCTGCCCCGCACCATCACCGTCTGAAACGGCCAGAGTCGCTCCTCCAGGTGCAGCTAGAGGTAGGCACGCTTCAGGTCCACGACCGCCACATTTGCGCCGTGCCGGCGCCACTTGCGGAGCTGTTCCGCGCACACGTCGCTGTCAGCTGTGTGAGCCTGCACAAAGTCATTCAGTTCCCGGTAGTCCAGCACCGGTCGAACTTTACCCCGATTGCGCTGCTCCATAGCCATTAGCGGCACCAACCCTTTCGGCGGCCCCTGCCGCCGCTCGTCATACGGCACGAGCCACCCCCGCTCTATCCAGTCGTAAAGTTCAGTCTCGAACTCGTGACGAGCGGTGGGCGGCACAGCATACTGCGGCACAGCGTTCGTGAGGCACTGGGGTCCGATCCCATCGGACCATTTCCATGCAACCGACCACTTCCGGGCAGCCGCGTTGAACTGCACCCGGAAGTCCGGCGTCTCAATGTCTGGCGGCGCACGACACACTGCTCCACAGAACCGCACCACAGAGGGGGACAGCACCGTCACGCCCCCGAGAGCCGAGATACCGCTGACCCCGAGCACCATGTCCACGCCGAGCGGCCGCTCCTCCACCACCAGCGTTTCAAGCGCGGCACGATGGCCCGTCGGCGCCTCGACCGTTACACTGCCAATGCCGCTGCATTTCAGGTCGTCGCCGCTGATCGTGGTGACGCGCACCACCCGTCGTCTCCACTGCGCACAGAATGGCGCGTAGATGATGGTGTCGGTGCTCCCGGTGTCGATGAGGACCGTGCACTCTCGTCCGTCCACGTGCAGGCGTGTAATCGGCAGCGCACCGCTCACTGTCGCGCAGGAGAGAACGGCGGTGCTGACCCGTCCCCTCCGGCTCCGTTTTCCGACCGACGCGGACATCTCGCAGCAATATGGCCGGGCTCTCCACAGGTCTAGCATCTCAGCGGACGCGGACCGCGCGGAGGCCGTCCACGCGTCGGCCCCGGCGGCTGGCCGGGTCCAGGCGCCGCAGATGGGTGGCTAGCCGGCGGCGGCACAGTCCGACGCGCCGCTGCTGCTGCTGCGGAGAGCCGCTCGTCGGTCAGCACAGCGCGAGCGCGCGCCAGCACCGATGACAGGTCCAGTCCATCTGCCCGGCAGCCAGCGCGGATCATCTGCCGGACGCTGTCCGGCAGGCCTGCCACGAATGCGCAGGCCAGCGCTCGCTCCGGCACTCCTCCGAACAGCGCCGCCAGCCGGCGGAGGTCAGCGAGGAATACGTCCGCCGACTCTCCTGCCATCAGTCGCCGAGCGGCGAACGCTTCATAGGCGGCGTACTCATCGAGAGCAAACGCCGCCTGGAGGGCGTCTCTCACGGCCGTCAGCGAGCAGCGACTGGCCGCCGGCAGCTGGGACCATACGTGGAAAGCACCGCCAGCGAGGCGCAGAGGAATCACAGTCTCGGCGGCCACTCCCCTCAGCTGGCACAGCATCTCAGCACGCGCCAGCCAGCAGCTAACCACATCTTCGGTCCCGTCAAACTCCGGTATCAGCCGCGCATCAAAAGGTGCCGACGGTACCGCGACCACAGGCTGTGAGACGGGTGCCGAGTCTGTCACACCACCATCACCAACCGGCACCGGCGCTGTCACCGGTCGCGGGACGATTGTCGGCGCCACTGCACTTGCCATCACCGGAACCTGGTCCAATGACACTGTCACATTCGTCGCCATAATGCCGAAATAGCTTGTATTTAAACTCGCACAGAAATAAAACCGACTTCGCAAAAAACAACGCTCGGCGGCCGCCCCGCGCCGCTCCCTACCGCGCTCCCTCTCGCCGACGACTCACGACTCACCGCTGATACATTTTCCACAACAAATCCCAGCCGCACGCGACAACTCGCACGCGCGCCCTGCACCGGACGCGCCTCCGCACAGCGGCAACTACACCTGTGGCCTGTGCAGTGTGCAGACGCTCGTCGCTCATGGTCAATCACCCAGAAAAAGGTGAAAAACGCTCCATTTAATCGGATCACCCTGCTAAAACCTCCATTCACGCGTGCATGCAGAGGTTTTACGTGAAATGCATACTCATAGGGTTTATCCCAGCCGCCGATTGTAGCTAGGTTGGGCATTCGGCGGAGAGTGAATGTCGGAATGTGAATCGGAAGCAATTCATCATCATCTTTGCTCCAGTGAGAGGAAGTGTTTTGTTCACTCGAGTGTGAACAAAAAGGGAAGTTTCTAGTTTCTAGTTTCTCGTTTTTCGTGTAAAGGGAAGCGCTGCAAACGCGAACAAAAAAGGCTGATCAGAACCAAAAGTTACGCACGGCATAGCGGTAGGGGATCCCTTAGAGATAGGCTTGGGACTTCCAGGCCATTTCAGGCCACTCAGGGTCAGTGTGGACTCCAGAAGCCTGCTTTGGATCCCGGAGATCGGCGTGGGTTACCCCAAATATTTATGTGCATTATGTGGTGCTTTAGGGCTTTCCGAGCCCAAGGTGGGACCCTCAGAAGCCAGTGTGGGCGGCGGGCGCTAGGAGACTAGGCCCAGGGTGAGCCTGGAGACCTGGAGCCCTCGGATAGTGTGAGCCCTCGGGGTCTGTGTCGAATCCCCAAGGACCCTACGTAGGACATAAGAAACATGTGTTGCGGCCCTCAGAGGGACACGTGAGTTGTGACCCCTCGGATGCCAGCTTGGGGTTAGCAAAGTCTGTCGCCTCAAAAGTTTGGCTGAACTATCAGAAATTTTGAGTGAAGGTTCTCAGAAATTTTCGGAGGCATCCTCAAAGATTCGTGTGGCCCTTCAGAGGTCTACATATAGGTAGGGGAGAGTGGGGTAAGATGCCGAGGGTGGGAAAGACGCCCCACCCCCTCTAGCGGCGAAACAAAGAATCGAACCTGGAAATTAATGTTCGTAGCATAAAGCGGAAGCCTGCCTTGTTAACTGCACAAAAATTTGCGAAGCTCAGTTGGGCAACGGCTGGCTGGTGATTGCATGTTTTTTATTTGCTGCTTTCAAAAATATTTTGGTGCCAAAACATTGTAAATATCAAGGAAGGTACTAGGTAGATAATTTTTGCGTCCCTTGCTATAGTCGTGATACATTAACATGTGTGTACTGTGTCACAAACAGTTTGTTTCAGGGTGTAGTTTTATGGCTAACAAAGTGTACTGATTTAATGTTACTTCGGTACCTTGGGGTAAGATGCCCCCTGTCCTGATGGGGAAAGACGCCCCCCTAAATCCGTAGGCTGTCCTTCAAGCAGCCCGTCAAATCATTTATTACATACTTGTGATGAGAGACAAAAGCCGATCTGGGACTACTGAGAGTCCAGTACGGTCGGGTGCTCCCCATGCCGGTCTCTCGGCCCACACAGCGACTTTTTGGGCGGCATCTAACTCTGAGAGCCCTCATGACGGCCTCTGTGGGCCCCATTATTGGCTCCAGGGCCCCTCACGACATCCCTTGAGGGCTCTCACGTTGGCTCCATGGGCCGCGCTGGCATCTGAGGTCCCCACGATGGGCTCGAGGGCCCTCAAGCATCATGAAGACCTATAAGGGCCCCACAGTGGTCTCCGAACGCCACCACGGAGGCTTGTTTGGCCGCGCTGGACTATGATGGCCATAACGATGACCTCTGAAGCCCCTTACGACTACTTTTGAGGGCCTTTACGATGACGTTTGGTGTCTACTGCAAGTTCGAAGGGACTACTGATTCGTTCAGGCGATTCACGTGCCCATTTATGTCACTTATAGTGCAGGGGGCATCTTCCCCAACGCCAGGGGCGTCTTTCCCACCCTGTGGGGTAAGATGCCCCCTTTCACTTCTTCAGGAAAATGCTTAATAGCAAAAAAAAAGTTATCATATTTCAAGCACGAAAGTGTGATATTTTTGGAGAAAAATGATGTCGGCTTCCGTTGAAACTCCAAGTTTTTGCTTTCCGATCGTCATTTTCGAACAATATATGACATAGTAAAACCCTGGGCATCTTTCCCCACTCTCCCCTATATAAGGTCCTCAAAGATCCCTGTATGGGCCCTCAGAGAACATGGACACCAGTGCGGGACTCTCAGAGGCCGGTTTGGGCCCTCTGAAAGTTTCTTAGAGCTCAGTGGAGCTCCTTAGGAGCCTGTGTGAAAAGCAAGCTCATGAGCCATGGGGCACTTGAACGGTACTTGAGCCTGTCGCAGACATTTGACGGGAGTTGAGAAAGGCCCCGGAGATTTCGTGTCACGCTTTGAACGAAAATTATGTGTCAGCAATCCAAAACTTATGAGGCAGGGGTCAGTGGTGGTGAATGGCCTGGTGGGTCAGTCACTGAGTTCAGAGGCGGCCCCACAGCTGACTCGTCCTTCGATGCCTCGATTGAAGAAGCGATCGTGCTCGGGGTCAAGAAATACACTCGGGGTCAGCCCAGGCTGTGGCGGCGGTGGCATCCCGGATGACGGCGGTGACGGTCCCAGTCTGTTGGTCGCTGCTGGCTTAGCTGTGGCCAGCACAGAGGCAGCGTTGCCCCTGGCCACAGGCCACAGCGGTCGAAACTCTTTGTGCCAGCCAGACTGTTTCCCGTTTGTCCCCGGTGCGGGACGTCAGCCGACGGCCAAGCTCCTTCATGAGACCTGTGGCCGCTGGACCCAGGACACCGGATGTCTCAACCGCGAAAGGAACGAAAACGTATCTCTCACGGAGAGCGGCATATCGGACGCGCTTGTGTCCTTCCGCACATCGAGCGGCGCTGCCAGGCTCAAGGCAGAGCTGATGACAGCAGTTGCAGAGAAGGTGTCGCAGCAGGTGGCGTCCCATATCAGGCTCATTCCTCGGCTGACCTAAAACCTAACCTACCCCCAAAATCCAATTTCTCCTCGGATTTCGGCCACTTTGTTTTCGAAAACATGCAACATGTACCTCATGAACATGTACGTCAAAATGTACAAAAAATGTACGTCTCAGAAGTTTGATATCGATGA